GGTTCGGGTTAGCATTTCTGACCCGTTTACCTATCCGGGTCGGGTTAGGGTCAACCCGTTTGAACCCGTGTCAGTTCCGGGTCCGACCCATGACCCGAAATTGACACCCCTAGAATCAATGATGTTCACCATAAATTAGATTCCTGTTCTATTATAAATTGGAAAAAAGTTAAAGCTCTTAATTACGACATTTACATACCCATATTTGCTAGGTAAGAATCCTTAAAATAAATATTCAATTATTTCAATGATTCATGAAGGTTAATAAAGCTAGCTATTATTTGATTAGAAAACTAAATGTTATAATTTTAGACCTATCATTAATCAAGGAACTAATTAAGAAAAAACATGAGCAACTATATATGCCAAAATTCAAATAAATATGAATGTTAACTCATAGTTTAATATTTGTTCATGTAAGTAGCTTCAAATATGATGTTACAAATATAATAAGAATATATTAAAAACTTTATAAATGAATGTAAAAGAAAAAATGAACAACTTTGAACATACCTTCAAGTTTATTATTTCTTTCTCTGTTTTGCAAATCATAAATAAATTGCACAATTTTTTTTTGTTCCATAGAATTAAAAATGCCTATGTGCAATTCTAGGCCATCCAAAATATTCACAAGTATTTTATTTATCCTCTCAAGGCAAAGAAAATATATTTTCATGCTGAAGCTTGTAAAGACAAGTTGATTTCTTTTCTCTATGTAGAGTTTGGTGTTCTTCTGATTCGACTTGACCTTCTCCTCCATGATAATTTCCTGTGTATCATTCTAACTCTTCTTTTCAATCTCTTGTTTTTTAGATAAATCATCAAAGATATATGATCTTATCTTCCAGGTGAGCTCATCTAAGTTAAATATAAATTTCATGAAAAACTTGAAAATTAGGTATTCCATAAAAATAAATAATGTATGTAAAAGGATAATTGCTGAGTACCTAATGAAGCCGAAGAATAGTAGTTTAATGGCTTTTAAAAATGTTTTAAGTTTTA